GGCCAAGGCGAGCAGACAATCCAGGCTACACTAGCAGAGAACATATTCGTCCAACAAAAACTCACACCAACCACATCAGTATTGTCAGGGACGGCGCCAATCAGAAGCCAGACCGACGACCCAAGCCCACAGCCAAGGTATGCTAGTCAATTAGCTGGTGTCTTTGATTTTTTTTTTTTTTTTTTCAATTCTACATTGCGTCTGTAGTTTAATAGCTGCAAACCCGCTTCGTAATTCCGAGGTACGCGGTTTGATTCGCATAGGCGGGCGATCAGAGAGCAGACAGCCTTGCGTTGATGTCGACCGAGGTTTTGCGAGCCGACATTTACCTCTTTACGTTCCAAACAACGCATTATGTGTGAATCATCTTATCTGTTGAATCCCATCCTCAGCTAAAAATGCTCTTACTTTTGTATTAGATCGCTCAAGAAATCTGGCGTAACCAATGCTCAGTGCTGCTGTTATTTTACCACTCTGAACATAATTCCTTGATCGATATTAATCACGGATATTTCTTCATCGGCATATTCTACATAACCTTTTTCTGGTACTGAAAGAGTTGAGAAAGTAATGGCAAACTACTGAATATAAAAGTGCCTAGTAAAACCGAAACATCTATCAGTTGATTCTGTAATGTAAAGGATTGTGTAAACGAAACCTCTTACGGTTCAACAGACATGAAGGCGATTACCAGCAGGCTCTGTGGAGAGCTTCGAGCAAGGCAGGGCACTTTTAAGTCGCCTTTGTCTTCCAGTGCACCTAGGTCCATTTCCAATCGTCTCCACATTGTCTTACCATTGGATCAAGATGGACATAAACGAGAGAGTGAGCTCGACGAACGGCGCAGCGTTTCCTCACTTAAATCTAAGTATTTGCGCAAGTCTCGTTCATCCAATTATCACTAATCAGCCACATTTGTACTCACTGTCATTACTACTTTGGATGAAAAGTAGTCTTCGTCACTAGTGATGGACGAACAACATGTAACGGATATGTAACTAACTGTTCTTCATAGGCTCTAGGTTGTGTCCGATGACGATGAAAAAAATCAAACCTGGACAGAAACTTGACCAAATTAGGTTTTATTCCAACCAATTAAATGTAAAATGTTAATTACTGTCCTCAGACATTTGTTATCGAATGCGTTTAACGTTCGCCCGTAATTTCTCTGATTCTCCAACTGTGACTGTCAGATGTAACTAAAATAACATTAGAATTTAAAAAAAAAAAAGGACTTTGTTTTAAAACTATATAATATCAAGAAGACAGAGACACAGCGAGAGAGAGAGAGAGAGAGAGAGAGAGAGAGAGAGAGAGAGAGAGAGAGAGAGAGAGAGAGAGAGAGAGAGAGAGAGAGTGAGAGAGTCGTTAACATTTTTCACAGTGTCATGAAGAACTATCATTCCATCAACTAACCATGTTGTCCATTCGGAGACTAAACTGCACATATCGGCTACGTTAATGCGAAAGAGGTGAAGAAGTATGAGACGAAAACCATTTTCTGCTGCCTCAATAAAACTGTGCTATATGACAATACGGTTGTTCGGAGTTTCCAACATTTTCATCTGTTTGATTCTCATCCCTGAGCTGTTATTCGTACAAAACTGCAACTCTGAAAAGGGCAAGAAAGAGGATCTTTAGAAATATAATAACATTTGAAAAATAAAGGATGAAGCTGTGTCGACGACCAGATAGCCGTACTGATGGGAAACACGAATCCTACCACCAACACTGACTTGGGGATGGGAAAAGGGGGGGGGGGGGGGAGATAGCAATAGTAACTAAGCTGACGGGCCCGCGGCATGGCTGTCACAATGATCACAGATACAACTTGGAGATGGCGATGTAAGTGAAGGACCCTTTCCACGCCTTCAGACATATATGGCTAGACCTATATTTTATAGACCAATCAGCACTTGCAGGGTCACTGTGGCCAGCATCACCACGGCAACCAGCACATCCCACGACTTTTACTTGGTACCCATTTACGGCTGGGTCGACCTGGGAGCCAAACAAATAATTATTAAACAGAAAAATCCTGCACTGTTTGGATTGGAACCCACGACTTTCGGACCTAGGTGCAAGCGTCTAGCCGCTACACTAGGGCGACTTCTGGTGGAGATATAATTGGTGTGGGAAGGGGAGAGCAAGGGGAAAATAAATGCCGTCTACACAATGAAGGTTGACTAAGTTGTATCTCTGCTGATTTTGGACTACTATGTGGCGAGGCTCTAATCCCTTCCACGGTGCGACTCTCGTACCACTGTCAGAAAACCACAAGAACGATCTTTTGTTTAAAAAAAAAAAAAACTCTGCCGCAGAAATCGAGCGTTAGTACTCGATGATTTTGAATTTGTTAAACTCATTCCCTAATCATTACAGCACAGAACCAGTGTATGCTAAGGTAAGAAAACCGCAGTTTCAACTTCATGGCCGATATAAACAAAACGGAGCCAGTGTATTAGAACATGTAACCCTTCTTCCTTGCTCTACACATGGAATGCCTTGAGGCGTCAGGGCAGGAAGAGATCTATGGAACGGGCCCTTCTGTTCGCTTCGTATATATTACTTCTCAGTGTCTCTGATACTTCTGCTGCCCTTTTAGTGCATGGCGGACCTCTGATTTGTTACCGTTGGATCTGTAAGACACTGCTCTCTGTGGTGCCCTGTCTGATGCCAGTCGTGTTATACGGCCAAATCATTTGATCTGTTGTCTGCTTATGATATTCAGTATTGGTTCTGTGCCGACTCTTCTCCTGATATCATCCTTCCTAAGTCGATCTCTCCTCGCTACACCTAGCACAGAAAGTAAACATTTAATTATTGTCGAGCACTACTTTCCTTGTGTCTTCTAAAGACAGTGTCCATGTTTGACACTGATAGCAACTAAACTGACATACTTTTGTATGGCATTGGTCCTATTGGTTATATTATGCTAGTTGTATACTAAAGCCTAACAGCAGAATGATAGGGGGACATTTCAACTTGGTGGCCAACACTTGTAACATTGGATCATCACTAGGTGCTGCCGACCTACAGAGACTGGGACGCTGAAAGGGGGCCTAATGACAGAGCGGATACTAGAGGCAGGGAGCAACCAGTCAGGGCTCGCTACTACACAAGTGTCGGTATGTAGACATGGCACTGTGGACAGTGCTTTCTTAACATCATTATAGGCCCTAGGCAAGCCAATGTACTGCAGCCCCTAAAACAGCCACTCACATAAATTAAATGTCAATGGTTGATAATATTAAATCACATTACACAGAATAGCACACAGCCCTCGTACTCGTGGGGCCCCGGGGCCAGTGCACAGCCAGCTCACTCGTTAAGACGGCACTTACTATGGGTAGAACTTTTCTTTCATGTCTATATACGTCTGCATATACGTGTGTCTGCATTTCTACATGTGCCCCATTTGGTTCTGACTGAGAAATGGAGCGAACAAATACCTTATTACCTATGATCTACTTAATTCACAGTGACGGTAAACAAGATGATCCAGTCCACAGCAACAACACACATCGATGGGCAGTTCAATTTGAACAAGCTATTATGTCTTTCTCGGGGTTTAAGTGTTTGGTGTAGTGCTTAGTTGACTGGGTGATGTTATAACAGTGGACACGATGCAACTGATAATGGAGAACATCGGACAATTATGCTCAAGAGTCATATGAGTAAAATGTTAATGAGAAACATAAACTGGAGAAGAACAGTGTGGTTTTGTTTGAGGTAAAGGCACAAACAACGCCACATTTTTCTCGAGAACACTTACAGAAAAAAAAAAAAAAATAAAATGAACTTAGATCTGTATTTATTCTTTGTTGATTGCACTAGACATTTGATAAAGTGGAACATGAAGAAATTACTGGCATTTCAGAAACCTTCAACGTCGACGGTAAAGATCTAAGAATTAAAAAAATATAAACATAAAATATCAAACATAAGCAGCCAGAAGAACGGACAACGAATTATAAAACAATAAAAGACGTTAGTCGGGAACGTGTACTATATCCCGATTCATTCAGTTTGCGCCATGAAATAATAATTCATATCCATACTTGGTATGCCAGGAAAATCAGCTGGTGGGCACAACATCAACAACCTGCGATTTGCTGACAACACAGTTTTGATCGCCGAAAATGAAAAACAGCTGCAAGAAGAAAAATGGACATAATTATAACGGAAAGTCAAAACAAGGGTCTTGGTTGAACAGCAGACAGAAACACAAACGAATTATTAGTAATTTCAAAGAACATGGATTCTCCCAAATGCAGCATCCCAGTTCCGGAACATTCCTAAGCAAGATGATACGTTGAAGAGCTACGCTACCCTGATAACAGCAGACTGCAGACTGAAGATGCATTCAAGTTAAATGTTGGATAGGCAGCATTTTACAAAATGAAGAATATTCTATGCAATCTTTCTTTGTCAGTTGAGACGAGAACTAGAATTCTCAAGAGCTATATAAATCATACTCTGATATACCACAGCTGGAAGATTAATTTAAAATAAATATTTTAAAGCACCGGAGATGCAGTTTTATAGACGAAGGATAAGTATATTTTGGACTGATAAGTAGGTAAGTAAGTAAGTTTACCCCACCGGCATATCACACAGAGTGATAAACATCCTGTGACACAAAATGCCACCATGCGGATGAGGATCGCCCGTGGAGAGGTCCGGGAAACCCCGTTCAGCCGTTAGGCCACATTTAAGGCCAGGCTATATTTAGGGCTCCCGTCAAAAGCCAGGGTGGGGCTTCAAAATAACTAAAAATTGCACCCCACAAGGGGATGACTAGTTGAACGGATAGAAAGAGTAATGAAGATGACTTGAAAGAAACTCACTCACGAAGAGAACTGATTGCCCACATAAGATGCAGACAACTGGGGTACATCAGGGAAAGTTGGAGTGTGAAGGGGGTGGAATATTATCTGTGTCAGAATGACTGAAAGTACACAAGACGGGAGGTTGTGCATAGACATGACTACCAACGC